CAGTGCAGGTTGCTGCTGTACCTTATCTCAACAGAAGGCAATCAGATGTTGCAAACATGGCAGTTAGTAACCTCAGTTGAGCAAACATTCATTCTTATGTTCACGGGAATTCTCTCTGTGTAAGAGCTGCCCCGGGATGCCAGAGGTTTGCTAGCCCTAGCAGTGTTACTCGCACTTTTTATTGGTAAACTAACATAGATGCCATTGGCAATGGGTTGCTTGAAAGTCTCCCAAAATGCTGTTTTTAGAAGCTCTGTTCTGGAATTCTGAACCTTCAGTTCACTTTTTTTCTTACCGGCCCTGCAGCCGAGTAGCTCACATTTGTTTGTCTGGTGCCTGTATTTATCACTAATCTTTTATGAAGCTAGTCCTCTAATCAGGAATGAATAGCACTTCTCAAAGAACAGAGAGGCTTAATCTGGATCTGAAACTCAGGACTGGCTTCCTTCAGAAGCTGCAAGTTTGGGGTTTTAGTTTGTTTTGGTGGTTTTTTTTTTTTAAGTTTAGGTGGTAGACCGCTAGGCAGTAGAAGTTCTGCTCTTATAAGGAAGTGAAAATAATGCTCACTTGTCTGATTCATGGGAGTTGCTCTCGAAGGCTCTGTATGCTGTTGTTCATTCCCTGCTTGCTATAATCCTCTTCGTACCCTGTCAAAGCGAGCTGCACCTGGGAGCTTTCTAGCCCAAGCCTGGTTAGAACCTGCTAGAGAAGATAAGGTGGCACTGTGGTGTTAAACTTGCTCCCCTCAGCTTCTGGATTTTGCTTTGATAGCATTAACACTGAAATCGTCTCTGACTTTGAACTTCCCTCTAACTAAGCCTAGAAATGGCATTTTTATGCCTAAGCAAACATTTTGTTTGTTGTTTTAAAGGATTCAGTTAGCAGGGATGAAAATAGTCCGGACATCACCTCACCTTGGGCGCTACAAAGTGATGGACTACAATGAGGAGACAGAGACACAGGAGCCTTGGAGAAGGTAACTGTTGCAGGGGGGGGCACTCATTGCCTTGTGGCAGGGGGGGGGGGCACTCATTGCCTTGTGGCAGGTTGACTGTTGCCATCATCTTCCTCAGAACAGCCAGAAAGCGTACCTAATGCTGCTGCTTGTTTTTCTGCTGTAGTGTGGCTATTTAAAGAGGGCTCCCAATCAGTTTCAACTGAATCATTCTGCTCCTGTCTCTGCATTTGAAGGGTTTCTCCTAGTTTCCTACTGTTGAATACACATGCTAGCTAGGAAGCTAACATGTATCCTATTGTTAAGCATCAAATTATTCAGGAAATAAAACTTTTTTTTAAAATACTGTCTTGTAACTAGGGAACAGTTCACTTTGAAGAGCCACTTTGTTACAACTTCCCTATAATAAAAACTTGCTTTTCACTCTCTGTGGCTTTACAATGTGCCATTAAAATAGTGGAGAGCAGTATAGTTTGAGGACATGAGGAAGGTGCTATGAGAGACCTTAGCAAAGACCCAAAATTTTACATAGAAGCTGGAGGAGGGTGTTGGGTCAAGCGTGGTGGAGGCCAGTGCAGGCTTCCCTCTGTCATCTCAAAACTCAGGTTTCCGTTAACAACCCTGTCTGAAAACCTGCCTACACCAGTGCTGCAAGCTGCTGTGTGGCACGGCCAGGTCCCTCTAAGCTGCTGCCAGTCCTGTGGGTTTTTTGCAGACTGTAGTTACCACCTCACTACTGGTCTACCTGTCTGATTAAGTTCCAGTCCACATTGTCCTCCTTGTTTAGAATACTCAGGGGGAACTTACTCTAATCCGTTTAGTCTTATAAAATGCCTTTGCTCTCTGGTCCGCATTATGCGAGAAGGATTTTAGTAGGGCTTTTCTGCTAGCAGCTTTCATCGGCTAAGCCTTTGGCCCCTCGGAAGAATGCTTCTCCTGCAGCTTTAGCTGCAAACATCACCTTTGTTCTTCTGTCTAACTGCAGGTATTTTTCCTTCTTCAGGCCTACTTCCCGACACAACACCAGAAAAACATGGAAAGATGATGGAATGAATTCGTTAGAGTTCAAGCTCCTTTCCAGGACAAAGCATCCTCTTTATACCAACATCACCGTGGACATTGGATATGTTCCCCCATTTTCTTAAAAGACTGAAAACAAAAGCAGAGTTTGGGCACGGGGTGGCAGCATGCACGTGGGCATCCAGCCGCTGCCTCCTGCTGTGCTGTGGAGTCTGCACCGCCTGAGACCGATCCTCTTGTCTTTCATGCATTTCACTTTTCTTCTAACTGTTTTACGATTGAGAAGAAAAGGCTTCAGGAATGGGGGATGATAAGGTAATGAACAGGCGGGGGCTTACTGTAAAAATTGTCAAAGCACTGTAAAACTAACTACTGAGCCAGACCCACCTCCTAGCCCTTGGGGAACCTTGAGCTAACTGGGACAGTTAGCTGCCCCAGGTTTTCTGGAACCTTTGTTCCACAGCTGGATAGCTCTGTCCTGCTTTGTACTTAGGTGTTAATTGGGATGCAAGCCATGCTGTCAGCCAGGCCTCTGAAGGGCTGTATTTTGAGAAAGCATTGAAACCGGTTACAGTTCTGTAAATATCTTTTCTGAATTTGAGTAAAACAAATTATGTGTTTGGGTTAAGATTTTCTAGGATATTTACTAAGACTGTAATAAAGGAGAAAGTTGCCCTGAAAGCAGAGCTTAAGTCCGTGGTTTTTTTCTGGCCTGATCCCATCAGTGTTCAAATGTTTTTCTTGTAGCTGTAAGTAATTCAGGCCAAATGGGACCTGAGGCTGTCACCTAGTCTAACCTCCTGCTCAGAGCAGGGAAATTAATCTAGTATTTCAGCTGTTACTCAAACATTAATTATCTTTCAAGGTTGATCTATCTTAAACATAAAATACTTCTGAGAAATGAAATACTAGAGGAAAAATACAAGTCAAACATGTCAGCAGTGGAGCTGTGACCCTGGCAGGTATGCATTTGTACTTACCTGACTCCAAGACTTGACACGCTCTGCCCAAGACCTTGCCCTTTCCCTATGAAGTTGGTCAGTAGCACTGCCTACCACATCCAGTTATTTTGCAAGCATGTCACAGGGTATTTTTTTGCTTGTTACTTGTAGATACTAAAATTTCCTGTTCACTGAAAAGCTGCATCTATCCCACCAACACCTAAGAATTTATTTAAAGCTTCAGCCTTCTCTACAGTTGGAATAATGTTAACCAGCTGGAGAATCACTCTTCAATATTATAGCAAAGAGAAGTTGCTTTTTGTCTTGTAAATTCTTAATATATACAATTCCTAAAAGAAACTCTCCCAAGTCTGGATTCACACCTGCCTGCAAGGGACACATCCAACAAGCAGGTGTAAGGACAGTTTGGTATCATGCAGTAATGGAAGTGCTCTAATCAAGATTTTAGCAGAAATCCTGTAGCACAGTGGAACAGTTAGTTATCCAGCCTGTCACCAGTCTTCTAAAACAAGAATAACAGATAATAATAGCCTGGGTATGCATCCAAGTCTGCACTCTGCTAACTGTAGCCCAAAGCATTAAAAAACATGGAGAGAAATTCCTGTCCATCTGACAGAGTTGGCCACACCTTCTGCATCTCTCCAGAACAACCCACAACCCACAGCAGGGTGAGCTGAGCTCAGGAAGGACAAGAGAAGCCTTTTAAATTCAATCGATTGTATTTATTGAGAGATTTTTAACATCTCCTCACCTATTACCATTACTGCCCTTCCCTCACACATAAGCAGGTTTTCCTCAGACTGGAAAAAAATTAGCTTTTCTCAGCAAGTTTGTAGTTGGTGAAGAATTCTTGTGCTTTTAATGAGAAAAGATAGGCCTGTTCTTTTTGAAGTCACAGCAGTGCTAAGTAGCCTTCCCCCTACAACAAGTAACTTTAGGAATAGTTGAAAGAACAATTTTTTTTCCAGGAGACTTAGTTGAAGTCCTTCCACTGGACCAGCCCAAACAAGGACACTTCTCCTAGTGTCCCAGCAGAAAGTGCACAGAAGAACACAAGGATGTGTCCCTCAGGTCAGTCTGTACCTCAACCAATCAATTAGATGCTGTGAAGAACAACTTTCTTCCGTGCTACTGAAGTACTCTTTCAGGTATTCTTTCAAGCGGAGTGCTGGGAGTCACCTGCTGTAACAGCAGCCACAAGCAAGATCTGTCACCGTTTCCTATAACCTGTGTGGTGCCCGCCCTTATGAGATCTTGGGCTGCACACTGAAATCCACCGTGATGTTGATGTATAAAGGGTTATGTTCCACTGAGAGCAGTTTATATGAACAAGAGTTCAGCCCGTCTGTTTTCCACGTTCTAGATACCTGACGTAGAAGCTTCATCCTGAAGACAAAGAGGAAAAAAATCTTCATTGACATGCATAGGAAAGGAGTTTGGAGCTCTTTGCCACTACTAGTAAACTTGGAGGCAGAGCTACAGCCATTCTGTATCTATTAGGAATGTAAAGTCATGCTTTTCCTGTCCTCAGCATGGACAAATCAGACATGGGGAAAAAAAGTCCTTCGCTTTAATCTCTGAAATCATATGCTCAGTCATATCCATGTAACTATAACTTTGCAAGTTTCTAAGGAACATCACCCAGTCAGCTCTAGGCACATCTCATGTACAGAACAGCAGCTGCCAGCTGTGAACAGTGGTGTCACAGGGGTGTCCCTCAGAGCCTCTGGGTACCACAACATGCCTCTTTGGCCTCAAGCAAAGAACTTGGCCTCCAGGTGCCCGGCTCCTAGCCACATAGTAAGACTGTGCAGGGCGGAACACTGTTCTTGACTCACCTCTCTCCATTCTCCTCATTACCGTGGTCGCGTTTGTGGAAGATCATTGTGTACCTGGCTACATCAGCAGATGGCCTCACTACTTTCATCTTCTGCATCTCAACCCTGAAAGAAGCAATAGTGCCATAAGCAAGAAAGCACCCATAAAAAAGTTAAGAAAACATTTGGAGACTTCCATCTCTTGTAGATGCCACTGAAGCAAGCACAGAGAATGGTAGGAAACTCATTTGCTTCTCTTCCACAACTCTTTTTGCCAGTGAAATGGAGCTCAGAGTTGAGTTTCTGAAGAATAGGTCCAGTAGTGCAACAGATACACCTTTCTTTTGAACAGAAGCAGGTAGCTACTACAGTAAACGTCATGTAGAGCTTTAAGCACACGTTATACAGAGTACATTTAAATTAGTGTCAGCTCTTCTAGTTTATACTGCCATGTATTAACCTAGGAGGTCTGCAGCAAGATTCCACATGTTTTGCAACAAGTTCATCTCAAATCCTGCAATACTTGATAGCTCTCCACTTGGGGGGGGGGAAGCTTTTTTTTTTTTTAATAGTTAGCAGACAGCTGCAAAACTTTTATTGCTCATATGAAGACAAATTTCTTTTTGAGAACAGTGCAGAAACACTAAGCCCCATGCATGGATTTAAGCACCTGACATCAGGCACTTGATTGGAGCTTTTGGCCTTAAACCTATCTGCGGAGCACAACAATTTTGCTTTGCCAGCAGAGAGGGTTAACTTCATGCCAATGGAAGTAAGGAACAGCCCAGGTCTTTGCTAGTCACATCAGCAGCAGGAAGGGGCCCAAAAGCGACCTTCACAGTAGCCCAGAGGCAAAACAGTGGCACCTACGAGCACTCCGGCCCCGAGTTCTTGAAGATACTGAAGGGGATGCTGCCATCTGCTGTCTTCTCTGAGGAAGGCTGCAAGGATCCCTCCGTGCAGCAACCCACCGAGGCAGCAAGCTTCCCAGCACCTACCCACTGCAAACTCTGCAACCAGCCCAGTCCAAGATCTACCCGAGAGGAAAGGTATGAGCCAAGGCCAGCTGCAGCGTGCACTCTGGGTCGTACGATTTGGTTTCCACACCAAGACCTCAACTGCTGCAAAGTTATGAGGTGCCACACACAAGCAAGCATCACTTTTGATTCCAATCACTTGCAAACATCATGGAGACCCCTCAGTAAATCCTGCCGATCTGCTGCACAGATGGTTCTCTGCTGCCCACAGGAACGTTTGAAAGAACGCCACTATCACCTTTGTTCACTCATTAACTGTGACACTTCTCAGGAAGCTGGGGAATAAGATGGTACCAAGCCATCCCCTACCACTATAAAAGCCAGCTCCCAAGGGGTCACAGGTAAAAGGCTGGTGTCTCTAGCTAGGCATAGGACAAAAAATAAAAAGTTGTGATTAGGGAACAGAAATCCATATCTCCCGTAGACCTTTAGACTTCTTGAGATATACAGCTGACTGATCTGCTGAACTGACACAGAGAAAAAACTCATTTGGAAGTTCTTAACCTTAACAGACTTGATTTCACCAGTGTAATGATTTAACATCACCAGGGATATGAATTTTATGTCCTCAAAATGTTTGTTTCCACATTTAAGCAACTGAAAAGGATAAACACTTAAGAACGACAGGTACACTCAAGTTACAAATTGACAGGCTCTGCCAGCAGGGCTTCTGGGGTTGTGGGTATTTTTTTTTCTCTTGGTCCCCACCCCCCTGCCCCCTCCTTCACTAACAGCAATGCAGGATCAGAGGTTTCTTCCTAGGCAGAGGGCAAAAGAGCAACATAAAGGTCTTGTTGACTCCTTTGTCCCACTAAACCTCTCAGACTAACAAGTTTCTCCTACTTTAACAGGCACGCCTGCAAAACTAGTTTTAACAAGAGTAAAGGGCGTACGCATGTACACGCAGCCTTTCTAAAATTCAAGTTATTCACTATCTTAACTATAATCAACACCACCCACATACAAACCAAGCCCTGTTTGGAGTAAATCATGGTAGTCAATGAATGCAAAATCCCAGTCCCACCAAAACCAACACACTCCCATGCTCTTGCAAAGTACTGGAACTCAGTACATTTGTGTCTCTGGCAAATCACACTCAGACTTCCATCTTCCTATTTCTGTTGTTACCAATTTCCGAGCAAGGATACAAATACTGTGTGTCCCAAACAAAAACAAAGCAAAACAACCAAAAAAACCCAAACAACCTAACAAAACCCACACCCAACCAGCAATGCTGTCAGGAGAAGGACCAGGTCTCAGGTCTCCTTTGCAAAGAGGAAACTGTTCACAGAACTGCATCTTGCACTCCCAGTCCCCACTGCAATACTGTTTTGAATTGAAGGCTCCTGTAGTGTTCCACCCTTTTTTTTTAAAACCAATTCCTCCACTCTCACATCCATTTCCCGCTAGCTTTTTTTTTTATTATTTATTTTTTACCTGATTCGAAGGTCATCATCTTCTCCACCCCAACCCCAGTAGTTGTTAGAGAATCCATTAACCTTGGAAAACTGATCTCTTGTTAGAGCAGTTACACCTCCAAAATAGCCCCGGTACCGTAACCTAGAAGTATACAGAAAGAGAGAGTGAAGAAAGAAAAGTCAAATTCCACCAACAATGAAAAATATCATTTGACCCCTGAAAGTCTGGAGTTAGTCTTGTCTTTCGCAGAGTTAAGGGTGCACAAATCCATGGGTTGGTCTTGTTCTCTTCTGCTTTTCACAAAAAAATGGCGATTTGCTTTAGGCCAGAAAAAGTTAACTCTCCAGCTGAGAGAATAGTGCCTTCTTCAATAGTTTCTCTGTACACAATTCCCCTTGCCAGCCCAAAAGGCACTTCACCTTAAAGGATGAGCAGAAAAGGAACAAAGCTACACACCAATACAGTGGAAGCTCTGCAATAATGACAGCAAGCTGTGGACTTCTCTTAGGGTTGAATCTGAAAAACTTGAAATGAAACCAGACCACAGCAAGGGGGCATGTGCTGTGGGATACTGCAGGACCAATTCCAAGGTAAGGTACAGCGCAAGTTACTTACTAACCTAACATAACGGAGCTCAGCTCTAAAGGAGATTAATTTCTAACTTCTACCTTCCTTGTTCTAGAAACGGCATATACTTCTTTACAGTATTTACATACCATCCTTATTTATTTTCTTATACCATTTTTCTAACTGCTTTTTAGGATACCCTCCTCTTTCTTAGCCCTTAAGCTAAGCATTACAACACAGCCTCTACTACGCTACCACTGCCAGCTTCAGAGGTGACGTGCACATGAGCGTAGATTGCATTTTGATTTCTAGATGTATGTGAATCTAAACAGATGAACAAATTGCCAGGGCTAGAAAGTATCCATTATGGCAATTTATATGCCAGATGAGCAAAGATGCAATGCTTATTATTATTTCTGATTTATCATTAATCTAATTTAAAACCACCAAACAATCCCCAAAAAACCACCACATACAACCTCCCTCAGATTACTTTACCTGGCTGATTTTTGCTCCTGTCATAGCATTGCAGGAGAATTGTGGAGGTTGAAGGGGCCTCTGGAGATCAAGTACTGCAACCTCTGTGCTCAGAGCATGGTCTGCTAGAGCAAGTTGCTGAGGACCATGTCCGTTCAGGTTCTGAGCATCTCCAAGGATGGAGACTCCACAACCTCTCTGGGCAACACGTTCCAGTATTTGACTACTCTCACAGTAAGAGCTTTTTCGTATGTTTAAATGGAGTTTCCTGTATTTCAGTTTGTGCCCATTGCCTCGTGCCTTTCACTGAGAAGGGTCTGGCTCCTCCTTCTTTACTGCCTTCCATCAGGTATGTAGACACATTGACAAAATCCCCCTTTGCCTCCTCTGCTCCAGGCTGCACAGTCCCAGCACTCTCAGCCTCACTTCACGTCAGATACTACAATCTCTTAATTGTCTTCATGGCTCTTCTCTGGACTTGCTCCAGTATATCCATGTTTTTATTGTGCTGGGGAACCCAGAACCAGACACAGCACTCCAGGTATTGTCTCAGTGGTGCTGAGTAGAAGGGAACAATCATTTCCCTCAGCCTGCTGACAGCCTCTAAACACTGCCCAAGATGCTACTGGCCTTTGTCACGAGGGCACATCGCTGGCCCAGATCCTTTTCTGTAAAGCTGCTTTCCAGACAGTTGGCCTCCAGCACCTACTGGTGCACGGAGTTACTCCTCTCCAAGTGCAGGACTCTGCATTTCCCTTTGTTGAACTTCTTTAGATTCCTGTTGGCCACATTCTCCAGCCTGACAAAGTCCCTGGTACATCAACCACCCCTCCAAAACTTCTGCCTTCCAAAAACTTGCTGAGGGTGCAATCTGCCCTATGTCCAGGTTACTAATGAAGATATTAACTAGTACTAGCCCCAGTATCAAACTCTGGAGTCAACCACCACTGACTAGCCTCCAGCTGGGCTTTACTCCACTGATCAGAACCCACTGAGCCCAGCAGTTCTGCCAGTTTTCAGTCCATCTCACTGTCCACTTACTAGTCTATTCTTCATTGCTTTGTCAATGGGGATGTTATGGGAGACAGTGTTGAAAGCCTTCTTAAGTAAAGATAAACATTATCCACTACTCCTCCCTTGTCCACCAAGGGAGTCAAATCAGAGAAGGCTATCAAGTTAGTCAGGCATGACTTGTGAACAGATTTGCTTTGTGACCTGCCCAGGGATTAAAAGGTGAGGTTGACCAGCCTGTAGTTTCACAAATCCTCCTTCTTGCCCGTCCTGAAGATAGAAGTGACATTTGTCTTCCAGTCCTCAGGAACCTCCCCCAGTCATCATGACCTTTCAAAGATAACAGAATGGCACACCACACAACAGCAAGCAGTTCTCTTAGCACTCATGGATACATTCATGAAGTCACCATCAGGTCACACGGTTTTATGGTGTATGCCCAATTTGTTTAAGTATTCCTTAACTTGATCCTCTCCAACAAGGGTCAGTTTTCATAAGTCCAGACTTTTCCACTGGTATCAGATGCCTGGGATTTCTGAAGGCAAATCTTGCCAGTAAAGATCAAGGCAGAGAAGGCACTGAATATCTTGACCTTTTCTTGTCTTTTCTCACTGAGTCCCCTGCCACACAGCAGGTGCACATTTTCCCTAGTCTTCCCAGCAGCTGATGTACCTGCAGAAGCCCTTCACATGGCCCTTCATGGTACTTGTGAGACTCAACTCCAGAGGGGCTTTAGTTTTCCTAACTCCATCCCTGCATACTTGGTATCTTGTGTGTCCTCGCAAGTCACCTGACTCTGCTTCCACCTCTTTCATGCTTCCTTTTTCTGTTCGAGTTTTCTCAGGAGCTCCTTGTTTGTCCATGCAGGACTCCATCCACCTTTGCTTGACTACCTGCACATGGGAACAGACCATTCTACAGCATGGGGGCAGCAACACCTGAAGATCTACCAGCTCTCCTGAACCCCTCTTCTCTCCAGGGTCAGCTCAAGTGATTCTTCCAAGCAGATCCCTGAACAGGAAGTTCAGGGTTGTGATCCTGCTATTTGCCTCATTCCCTCCTTCTTTCTGACCTTCACATCCCTAAGCAGTTCTTCCTTGTTTGCCTCAGCAGAACACCTCCCTTCATCAGCTCTGATCGCCTGTGTCACGAAGTCATCATCAATTCACTTCAGGAATCTCCTGGATTACTTGTGCCCTGTTGTGTTGTCTTTCCAGCAGATACCAGGACAACTAAAGTCTTCCACAAGGGCCAGGGCCTGTATACATGAGGCTTCTTCCAGTTGTCTGAAACAAAATCTTCAACTGTCATTTGCTGGGATTGTGATACACCTCCCAAAAGATGGTGTTATCTATATAAACATACAGAAAAAGGATTGTTCTAGGCAGATGCAGTCTCTTGTGCTCTACTTGTTGGTTTTTCTGCCTCTGGAATTTTTACTCTTCCTTGCTCTCTCCCCTTTATCTCCCCTCCTAGAGGAGACCAACTATAAGGTGGGGAAGGCACTATCAAGTTTTAATTATGCATTACTACCTTGAGACTTCTGCTATGGGTCCTCTAGAGACATGTGATGAGCAGATGGAATGGATAGCAAGGAGGTCCCATAAACAGCAACAGCACGGAAGAGCCCCCCCTCCCAGCTGCTCCTTCAGGCTGCACTGTCAGTCACCAACAGCCCCACATACCCCTGTTCCAGCAGCCTTGTAGGGTTCGGGAACTGACTGCCCGCGCACACATCCGTATGTGCACCGCACTGCTTGCTTGTGCGCCCCATAATTCCCCTACACCACTGGGGAGGCAGACACTGAACGAGCCAGAGCTGTAACCAGGACAGTGCTGCCCACTCAACCCTCCTCAGGCAGAGCAGAGCTGGCAGGGCCCGGATGTATCTTGCTCCCCAGTGACATAATCTGCAAAAATGCACCTCTGTAACAGCGTTCAACCACGTCTTCCCTGAGGACAAGAGAACAGCAGCTCCTTTGGGATATTTAAAATTGAACTGAAGAAAACATACAATAGAAACGGTCACTAGGAACAGATGTTGTGCTGGTCTCAAGGAAATAGCTTAGCTAAGATAAAAAAGTTTTGCCACCCTTACCTTCAAAGTTTTAATATATAACCCTTTTTTTCTAAATAATCTAAAACTGAGTTGAAGTTTATGTAACTAAACATAAGGTACTTGCTCTCCAAAGGAGCACAGCTGCTAAGATTACCACGCACTGATTCAACATAGAAGATATCCCCTTGGAAGGAAAACAAACAAACAAAAATCCCCAGGAAACCCACAACAACCCCACATTCCTGTCCAGGATATTTTGTGTTAATGCAGAACACATATGACTTTCAACCTGTTTTCTCAGCCTCATCTGAGCAACATGTCTCAGTATGCTCACCTCAGTCTAAGCAAAACACCGAGGTCACTCAACTGTGATTTCAACCTGTGGGCTCAGCTCAGCTGAGGTATCATTCTTGAACTCAGGATCTGAATTCCTGCAGATGTACCCAGGAGTTCCCTTGGAAATAGAACATTGTTTACACTTCCATGAAGTGGGGATAATAGAGGCAGTGACACAGAAAAGTATGAATCCAATTCAAACCTAGAGAATACTGCTGCAGAGTATTCACAACAAAAACATTTTGTCCCTACTCTTTAAAGCCAAAGCTTAAAGCTGACTTGTAGCTAACAGCTTTCCACAAACAGGATAAACCTGAGGAAATTAATAGTAAGATCCCTCAGTAAAAGCAAAAATTCCATCTGCATGCTTAACTAAGCAAAACATTTGCAGTAAACTAAGGCACAGGAGGTTAAATAAAGCACTTCAAGCTTTGTGCCACGTTATTAGCCTGGATTCTACATGCCTGTCAATAAACCAAAGCAGCATTTCCGTTGCTTTGGTGCACTGACCATCTTGTAGCCCTCAGCATTCTCCCTCCGAGGCAGAGTGCTCCAAAAACTTGTCATGAGCCTAGTTCATACGTGCTTGTTCCAGTTTTCACTAAATGACCGAAAAGTGAGTATCATTCTGTGTAAGAATTTGCATATCCCATCTCTTTCTCATATATTTAACAAAGTAAACCCAGAAGTAAAGCACAGGTTTACTTCAAAGTACTTTGAGATCAGCTTTTGAAAAGCCCCCTTCTAATTAATATTTAGTGTGACATGACGTAAGAGGTGAATCTTGAAAGAAAAAAGTTCAATAAAAACACTCTGGTCATTAAATTCACCAAGCTCAGGAGCCTTTTTTCCTCTGAGGTGGACTGAACTTGACTTTTCACTTCAAATTATTTATATCACACTGGCACTCATGGGACCCATTTAAAAATCAGAATGATCCTGTACTAGACACTGTCCAGCCGAATAATTAAAGGACAACCCTATCCCTTGGCAAATTCTCACACTTGAGCTCTCAATATCAGACGTTACCTCTTCAACAGCAAAAGGTAAGTGGCAAGTTTTATTATAGTAAGATCAGACCCTCAAATCACAGGAGCAGGAGACTGCAAATGCATTTCTAGCTTTGACAGAAGGTCTCTGCACAATCCCTGGCATGTTGCTTTCGTCTCAGAACACCCTTTAACCTCACCCCAGAAACCAGAACGATGACAACGATGACTTGCATAGGAGCCCATGGGGCTGACTTCAGAGATGTCTGTGCAGTTCTCTTGTCAGAAGGCACTCCAGAGAGATGAAGTGTTACCAACCAGAAACCTGGTGTCAGGAGGAAGGGTAGATACCAGCATATAGCTCCATCAGAAGAGGAACATTATTAGTAATACAGCATTTCCCAGTTGGTATTCTTTCCATATTCCTGGTTTCCTACCTGTATCCAGTATTGTTCCTGCCAACTACAAGGTGCTTTGGTTGTCTGTCACACATGTAAATGTTGAAGTCATTTTCTGGCACCAGATCCACATCATGGAAAATGAAACAGTCCCAGTTCGCTTCTTTTAGGGCCTCTAGGTATCCTACATTCAGCAGTTTAGCTCGATTAAATTTGGTGCTGCCAGCCTGTGGAAAAGAATGGAAAAGACCTCTGTCAAACCTTTTGAACCAGAACTGCTCCCGGGCATTTGTTCTGATTGCGTAGTTCACAACCACCTTCATGCGTCATAGCCTTTACAGTGCTAACTGCACAAAGAGGTGCCCCATAACACTGGGTACGGCATCAGAGTGGCCAATGATGCAAAGTGTTTCTTCAGCCTCTACTTGTCAGGAGTAGCCAGGGCCAGGAGAGCCTACGGTTATCTGGGCACCAGCAGCGTGCACGCTGCATGATGCAATCTCACTACTACTGCTGCTCCTATCTGGGAGCTCCCAACAGGCTACATAACAAAAGAGTATCGGTAAACAGTTTAGAAACCAGCACTCCATGCAACTGTGTCAGTAAGGCTTTTGGAAGTTTTCTTAAAAAAGCCAAAACCAAAAAAGGCAAAAAAACATCACTCCCATACAAATTAGTTTATAGATGTCAGAGGACCTGACACAGATGATTTAGTTTTGTCCACTCAGTTTAGGGGATAGCAGTGCTTAAAGAGTTCACTGTATTTCCCTAGGTCACACAGTAGGTGGCAGAGCAGGAAATAAAAAGCAGGTCTCTTAATTTTTAACTCCTATCTATAACCTAATTACTGTGCTGCACTGGGACTCCCCCTAGCACGGAGCTTCACTTGACTTGTACTAGTCTTTGCTGTTTGTTTCTGCTGTAAGTTAGTGCATCCTGGCTTTTCAAAAATACCATTTTTCACCTTTGAGGTGTATAGATATATACACACACATACAGATACACCTAGCAGTTTTGGAAGCTTACCATGTCACCATTCACTCTGGAGCAACAGGTGTGCTTATCCTGGTATTTATTTGTTACTGGGCTGTACACCCGTGCCAGCCTGTAGAAGGCTTTCTGCTCCTTGCGGACAAGGTGGTGAGTTGCCTCAAGTTCCCACCTGGGAGCCAGAGGGCCAAGCCCTGTGTTCCCAGACACCGACAGGACAGTCATTGTCCAAAGCTAGGAACATGACATGCTTGAAAGAATAAAAAAGCGATTTTGAAGAGAAAGGGGTCGTTTGCTAGAAGGTGCCTGGACTGAAACAGGCTCCATGGAAGACGAGAAAGAAGCCGGCCTGCCCAGACTGAGAAAAGGTTAGCTGTAGGTAAAAGCAGTTGGACACAAAGCAAGTTTTCTCATTCTGAAAAGCAACACTTTGCTCTGAAGTGGCAATTTGTTAACCACCACTAACAGCCATCTGCTCCTGCACAAAGAACATTTATGGGATTTATGGCTCCATACCTGCAGTTAGGGAAATACAGACCAGCGCCGACTCTGAGAAATTAATAGAGGGATAATCAATTGCTTCCATTTTCAGTCAGGGAAGGAACTTTCCACAAAAAAAAAAAAAATCAGATACCATTATCCCAAAATCTATTATGTCATATTTTTAAGTGGGAATTTCTGTGTTGTTTTGTTCAGTTTTGGTTTTTTAAAGCGTCTTGTATATGAACATATCTGTCAGATAATCTTCTGGTGACAAAAGTATACATTACTGAATGAACAGAACAATTCAGATGACTGGTAAAGAACACACAGAAAACTTCATTCGTATTGGGTATCAAACCCAGCCCACTTCCTGCACAAAGGCAGCCAAACGACAGCTAAAATTTCTTTCCAGGAAGGGCAATTTTCAATGTCAGACCACCTCCTGAACAAACAGCAAAGTTTACTCTCACCTTTTATTGAGGAAGGAATTGTCCTCCTTTGTTTCTATGGAAGAACACTGATCACAAGACAAACTTACATTGGGAAAGAAGTTATTCACCCTTTAGGGATTAAAAACTAACTTTTTTTCAGCACTGCACAACATTTGTGCAGAGAAACACAATTTTCAAGATGTTACAAGCAGCTCAAAGAAGAGATCTGGAACATGCCCTTCAATGGCTCACAGAGACAAATATAGAAAGCTCATTTCTTAATCTTCCTCCAAAGTAAACTCTGTGTATTTTAACAGTTAAATCCTGTTTTTATCTGTTTCTCAAAAGATTTTAAAACAACTAATGACATCACAAATGGAGAGTGAAAATGAATTTGCCGTAAGAGTTTTGTTAGACCTACTTTCCATGCCTATCACATGGAAAGGCTAAGCAAAACCTTCCAATCTTCCAAGTAAAAACCCTGATAGAACAAGTCCAGACTCAACATTGCTGCTCACATCAAACAAAACCTTCATACTTCTGTATTACTTTTAGCTAACATGATAACAGACATTCTCCACCTCACATATGCTAATACACAAAGAACATATGCCCATTCTTCCAATGATTTATTGCTAACCACTGCTTGCTAGCTGGAGTGAGCCATTATATGTACAGTTACAGTACATACGAATGCAGAAAAAAGCCTCGTTTTTTCCACTCTATGGACCACATGACTCTAAACAATGGAAGAACAGTCTATTCCGACTGAAAGTATATATCCTGCCATGACTTTTGTTGCTGTTCTGCTGTGCCATTGAGCAACTGAGCATCTAGCTTTCACCTAGAATGCACTGCCTCATACTAGTTAACTGACTCTAACCTCTTTCAACAGAAGGGGAGAGAAACTATAATATCACCTTTTTCTCCTGCTATCTGAAAAACCTGTTTAGAGTCAAAGCAGAACATGTAAGCATATGATAGTAAAAGCAAACACAACAAAAGATCAAGAAAAAGACAGCATATTACGAAAGAGAAATCTATACTCCTTTTAGTTTGTACAACCAGAACATAAGCCCATTAGATGAAAGATGACATGGCACAAGCCTGTATGCTCAAATTTTAGCTGCTGACTCAGCAGAGCTAGAAAGAAATTAATAAATCTTTCAAGAACCAAGTGCTCTGCCATGACTACATCTTCCCACAGCCCTTGCTGGGCAAGTAAAGCACCTACAAGCAGTAGCTGTCATGTTTAGTTTGAGACAGCAGAAGTACAACAACATGATATACACAGCTTACTAAGCACGACAGCCAGCAAGCAGATGGGAGAGAAGAGCTGGATACAAACAGAGGCCTTCGATCCAAACAACTCCAAGTTTAAAGAGAGAAAACTTCTCAGCCTAGTTACATATGTGTATACTGAAAGGGAACTGAGTTGCACTAGTAATGCAAAAGACGTTTACCTTGAACACTAACCCAGAAATAGTAAGTCACTTTAACTGGTGTCCATTTCTCAGTCTAAGAGACTGTTTGTTACTACTTTCCAGCTTTGCTAACAGCAGCTGAGATCCTGCAGTGCAAGTAGCAATTGCTGCCTGCTCTGTGGCATCCCTCAACAAGTAGAAGCGTTTGAAGCAGGCTTGGAGGACTGATGTTAGATAACAGAGACAGCAGCATGCCTCTCCTCAGACTGCAGAGCACTGACACCATCGCCACCCAAATATGTCTCTGCACAGTTGCCTCACCTGGTGAATAACATAGATGCCGTAGTCCAACTGCTGCCTTTGTAGGAAAGGGTGGAGGTGCTCCAGGAGGTACAGCAAATGCTTCTCTCGATTGCGGTGTGGGATGAGGATGGCCACACGCTGCAAGGCTGAGCACTCCGTAGGGTGATACCGACCCTTGGCTACCTGAGGGTTCTCCTTTTGCACTTCTTCGAGTGTCAGAGATGCTTTGAAAGAGAGTTTGCTGGCACCTCCTGCAAGAGAAGCACAAGAAGCTTTCCTGAGTCATTTCTGGTTGTGGCTAGTCCAGTCACCTAATGAGGCACTCTGTAACCAGCATAAGAAACCCAGATTCAAGCCCCAATTGGTTTCCCTGCCCTTCCAAGAGAAAAGTAGTGCTACCAGGATATTATGCAGACAATGGAAGGAGAGGGTATTGAGCTTTTAGTTGCTTATACTAATCACAGAATAGTGATGATAAAGTAATTTAAAATATCAAGAGAGGTTCCACCCTACTGCAGGACGACTGGCCAAAATGGCTGCCAGGGCAAAGCAGAGGAGAGGGAAATGGAAAGAGACATAGGACTGTGGCTGTGAGAGGTCATCTCTACTTAAAGCACGAACAAAAGCATCGCAGGCTTAAGGCTATGAAATTGTAAGATAAAACGTACCAAGGCTTTCTGTAGCCAAATGAAATTTTCAGGACTTCTCTTGTACTGAGCTATCATTCAAGCCCCTCTGGACTCGGTAAACCCACGAAAGAGAACAATGCAGGCATCTGTGACTGCTACAGCTGCAGTGCACTTACTTAAGCAAATACATCTTGGGGGCAGGGGTGGCAGTGTGCAACTAGACAGCAGCTTTTTGGACTACTTTGAGGAAGAGGGAAGAATCCAGCTTCCCAAACAAATTCTTAAACAGGTTCACAAGAAGAAAGAGAAAGACGCCAATGACATGAAACTACAAAGCTAGCCTGGTGCTGCTAGCAATACCAAGACACAAAAAAAAAGCGGACTAATCAAAATGACCAAACCAAGGAAACAACCACCTATCTGAACCTTCATCACAAGTAGTGTGAACCCCAATGCAGCTGTGAAGTCCTTCAATTGTCAAGACAGAGAGACAAAAGTATATCTAATAATGAAAAGGCAAAAAATTGACAAAAGGTGAAAAGACTTGTGGTTGAGATAGAGATAGTTTAATAAAAAAAGCAAAAGCTGTGCGCACGAGCAAAGCGAGAAATTCATTCACTACTTCCCATTTACAGGCAGATGCCCAGCCATATCTGCAGAAGAAACTTCCACTGCTGTGGCTGGGAAGACACTGTAACCATGAAACACCCCTCCCATTCCTCATTTCCCTGAGCTTTTATTGCTGAACATGATAAATGGTATGGTCACATGGTATGGAATATCCCTTCAGCTGGTTGGGGTCAGCTGTCCCGGCTGTGTCAACCCCCAACCTCTTGCCCACCCCGAGCCTAACAGATTTTAGGGGGCCAGGGAGAAAGAGACAAAGCCTCAACAGTCTGCAAACATTGTTCAGCGGTAGCCAAGTCACTGGTGCGTTATCAAAGCTGTTTTAGCACAGCACCATATGGGCCGCTATCCCAGCTGGACCCAGCACAGGTGCTCTGTGCCACAAGTCTCTTCCTCACCCAGAAGTGCTTGCTGCAACTGGTTGCATTGTATTTGTTTCACAGGAAAAGTGTCTAACTGTAAAACAGCTAGGAAGAAAACCAAGTCAGCAGTATCAAAGCAGATATAACTGCTTTGGTTAGGAAGGAGGAGGAAGAGGAAAGCACCATCACTTACGCAGGTACGGAGACAGAGCTGGACAGTGACCCTGAAATGACTTCACCGTGGGAACTGTCGCAATTGATTCGATCTCCTCTTCCTTTGGACTGTCATCCAGGCTAGTCACCTTTCTGAAATCCTCCACCATGCTCTTAGCTTTAGAAATTTCCTGTCTGGAGTCCACAAAATAACTGATCGTAGCCCATAGCACCATCAAACACAAAGTGACAAGCACCAACACTTTGAACTTATAGAAGACGTGAAAGACATACAAGCTCAAGGCCATGGCTCTCCCTGATCCACAAACTGCTTCCTCTGCTCTGATGCTGAAGCAGGTCACTGTACACTCAGTGGGGATGAAACCAAAGGTCCCGAGAAGAATGTCACAACAAGGAAGGACAGCTGGAGGTAGGAAGGGCTGCCACACTTCCTGCAGTTTCACAGTTCATGGAGCCAGGTGCTGTTTGCTCTTCAAATGTCAGAAAATACCACTTAACCTGGGCGAGGGGGAAGGGTAGGGGGAAAAAAAAAAAAAAAAAAAAAGAGAAAGTTAGTTTATACTGCTCTCCACTGCTGTACCTCCACAGACTTCATGAAAATAGCTTATGACAAAATAGGAAAGGAACAGCAAGTATGAACTACTGGTCAGAAACCAAGACACTGAACTTTGGTCCTAGCTCAGCCACAAACCAGCTGCATGATTGTAGGCAAATCACTTTCCTGCTGCATAACTGTAGGTAAATCACTTCCCTGCTTTGCTTTCCACTCCCACGCTTTTTTTATTTTTCAGATCAGAAAGTACAAACACTACCCCATATTATGTCTGTGTAAAGTGCCTGGCAATACACAGGCTTTACTATTTCTATTCCTACCAAAATTAACAACAGCTGCAAGGCAAGAGATTCTGCTGGTTATGAGTAAAGTTAGCTCCCTTCACCGAAATGGAAAGCACATGAACCTCCGCAGAATTTTTCTTCTGTTTTCTTCTGAAAGAATATTACTGATGCTACATTGCTCTCCACAACACAGTGTGAACCCTGCAATACTCAACTGGCATCAAAAAAATCATTCCTCCATATCTGCTGCCTGCCAGTACCCCCTTGTGGGTCCTTGCCCAGTATTCCCCTCTCATATGCTGCTGCAGGAGGCAAATCCTCCTGCTTTTCAAGGGAAAGGGTCAGTTCTTCAGTGTTAGGTCTATGAGGGTTCAATCCTTTCTTCCGTTTCCTACCTTCTTTCAAGAGCTCCATTTTCATACAGCCTTTCACTGCCCTCATGCTGTAAAGTTACCATGCTAATACTTTTGTCTGTTATTATCATCTCATAGAAGAGAAAGAATGACATTTTAATAAAAGAGAGCTTTGATATGGAAAACAAACAAGAAAATTGCCACCTGTGAGAAGAACAAAGACCAAGGCTAAGTGAAGCAAAGGCAGTGATTAAAGACAACGCACACGAAACAGGCTGGATCAAAGAGATGAAACAGCAACATGGAAGGTTATTTTAGACCAGCTTTCAAAATCTACATGATACCCTGGAGGGATATCACAGGCAGAAGGAATACAGTAACTTTACATTCCTTCTAGTTTAGTCGAGGAGTCTTCTGGAACAGTTTGCTGTTCCATGGGGATGTATGTGGGAGCCTGACCTAGGACTGACAAGACGAACTACTTGATGTACTGCCAGAGCGTCTCGGAGTTTGCTGGGTATGACCAGCTGCTGTCCCTCCCAGTAGGCACTACACAGAGTGGCTAACCTGCTCTCTCCATCCACGTGCAACGTTCAGTGCTGCTCTAAGGAAGCGACAGAAGAATTTTCAGTGACCTTACCACTAACAGTGAAGGATCTCCACATACACTTCAACCACAGAGAAGAGAGCAAAACCAGAGAGGCTTACACTGGAGAAGAGAATATTACATATTACTCACAAGCAAAGGAGGGGGGAAAAAAAAGAAACAGGGCAGGGGAAAGAGGAGAGGGAGAGGTTCTCAAGAAGAAGAAAAAAAAAAAAAAAAGGCATTCAGTAATACTAATAACCACAGTTTTTTGAGGGGTTTTACTGGGTCTTTTTTCCCATCTGGTATTAAAGAACACAAGGACAGAATCACTGAAACAAACCAGACGGGAAGCCTGAGTTCCTCTCAGTCATTTTCTAATGAATTCTTTCTGTTCTTAGATAAATTACACTGGAGACCACATGGGTGTTTGCCTCAGTTTTAAAAGACACAGAAAAATTAGCTTAGTGGTCTCATTTACATCTTTCCCCTGATCTTCCACATGGGAAATAATCAGAATAGCCTGTAAGGTATTGACAGCATAGGTCTCTACTACTCTCCAAAGGAAACCAGAAGTAGGGGGACTAATACTTCCGAGAGTACAGGAAGAGAACAGGGAAGGAAACAGGTGCAGACCGTTAGACACAAGAGAAGCGCAAGCCTGCAGGACAGCAGCCAACGGGGTCAGCGGTAGGGGCGCGTGGACAATGCCGGTGCACCAATCACAGCTTACTTAGTGGCGCGTGTACTAGTAGAGAAAAGTGTATAACGATGCTGTAGCAAACAATAAAGGTCTTCGGTTCACCCTCAATCAGAGTCCATTCCCTTACCCTCCACAAACACCTTTATCCTGAGTATTACAAACAAATCTAGACTGGAAGGCAACCAGGCGGAGAGATTAATGGTGATTAATACAGTCACACAGATATCCCAAAGCCTGGAGATCAATGCAAGAACAGCAAGGATTTGTCTCCCTTACTTATTTTTCCCCTCAAAAGGACACAGAAACCTTCTCTTCACCTGCTCCACGACCTTCCAAGGTATCAAGGTGAGGTCATACTTCTTGCCCTTCTTGAAGACAGTAGTGACATTTGCTTTCCTCCAGTCTTCAGGTGCTTCTCCCAGTTGCCACGATCAAAGACTATCAAGAGTGGCCTCACAATGACATCAGCCAGCTCCCTCAGCACTCATGGGTACATCCCACCGTGGCCCACAGACCTCTGTGTGTCCAGTTTGCTTAAGTATTCCCTGACCTCTTAAGTAAATCCTCTTCCACCAAGAGTACAATCTGCCTTACTCCAGCCTTTCACCCTGGTCTCTAGGACCTGGGATTCCTGAATCCCAGTCTTCCTAGTAAAGACTGAGGCAAAGAAGGCATTGAATAGCTCAACCTCTTCCATGTCCTGCGTAACCAAGTCCCCTGTCTCATTAAGCAATGGGCCCATATTTTGCCCGTCTTCCTTTTGTTACCTATGTACTTCTGGAAGTCTTTCTTGTCATCTTCAATACCCCTAAAATATACTGGTTGGGAGGTACAAAAAAGATCATCCAGTCAGACATTAAAACATGTGCAAACAATAATTCAATAAATTCAATACTAAACAAATCTTGCTGTAACAATCCCCAAGACGCTAGAAACACGGTTCTTCTTTCTTCTAGACTGTAACTCAGGGTGACTAACCCTCAAACATGGGTGGGAAAACATCTGTGCTGCAACTAAATTCTTCTCATAGCTCTCAAACCTGACTCTAGCTAGATCTGTCTTTCATCAAGGTTACCCACCAAGAAATTTTCACAGCAACATAAAGTGCAACTCTTCTTGTGAAATAAATCCTCAGTGAAGCATAACCAAACCTCATTTAGAAAGTTACAGCTGACTAGAAGGGCACAGCACTTCAGGCCACAAGGTTAAAAACACCACAGTGCCCATTTCAAAATCCATGAAAAAAAATTCAACAGAACAAAAAGTTATTTGGATAAGTCATCAACCAGAATTCCAAAATCAATGAAAAATTAGAAAGGTCTCCATCTATACGTAGACATACTCATATCTAGGCTGCAAACACACTTCTAAATATACCCATGATCATACTGAAGTACATAAATACCACAAGATCATTGTTCCCCCAACATCCTATCTGTACCAATAACTGTCCCTGTGCCCTGCAGCTCATCTGCCAACTCAAGTTCTGTAGCCTGCTATGTTTTTTGAAACATACGCCAAACCCTACTTGCTTTCTCCAAGGTTCCTAGCACTGTTCAGAAGCGGCCATCTGTAGGAACCAATCAGAAATGCACTGCTATATGACTCCTCCATGAACAGTGTGGGGGTCAGTTCTGATCCTTGAGCCCGTTGCCATGAACATGAAGCCCTAACTTGCCCCTCTCCATCCAAGAAGCCCAAAATAGTAAGCAAGGTTCCAGCATGAACAAGACTTCTTCCAAAGCAAACTAGGAAGATCAGAACCCCATCCATTTTCATTCAGGGTTTTCCCAACAGAAATACACATTAATTGGAGTCTGACATGCTTTGCAAGCACAAGCTGGTTCCCCATGTAAGGGCTGCAGGGTCAATCTATCCATTTGCCTGGCTGCCTGACTGAAGCCACTAGCATTACCAAGCTCAGAGATACCCACAAATTCTAGACTAAAGGCTGTTCTTTTATCTACGAAAAATTCATAGGTAGATGAAGACAATATCAGCTGGAAGACTGATTACTGGTAGCCCTGATCTAGATATTAACAATGGAAAGTAACCTTACAAACAAGATTTGATATGTAACTGGAGTTGATTAAAAACTCATTATTTTCCAAACATCTATCTATCCCTGATGACAACTTTTATCTAAAAATTTTTATCTATATGGTAACTATACTAAAGCAAAGATTCACATGCTTACTTATTGAAAAAAGTTACATTGAACAGTACAGATAATCAGTGAGGACACAGTGCCTAAATTTTATTTTTCATTTGTTTGTATTTATGGAATTCACTCTGTACATAACATCTGCAGGACAGCTCCAGAAAGACACTTTTGTTTGATGCATGGAAAATTAACTTGTTAATTTACACAAACTAACTTTCTAACTCTACCTGTTTCACATTGCCTAGTAAGGACAGGTTTCCTTACATGCAGGATTTTCCAGAAGCTCCTGCAGCCTC